CGGAGCTCTAGGACTGGATTCTGGAAGAAAAGATCTGTTTACGGCAGTGAGTTTGGATGAAAAAGTTGTGAGTTGTTCCAACAAGGAGTACTGGAACTTAGCAGGGTTTGTTCATGCTTGTAAAAAACATGAGTTGTGGTTGGAAATAAATAAATATTTTATTTATATTTATATATATGTATAGCAAATATTACCTTTCTAAATCTATTACGATATTCAAATGCAACTTCAACAGCCCTTGTAACGTCCTAATAAAGTCAAAAATACATTAATATAATAACAAAATTTGGTTATGATCGAATATTAAAAAATTTCACTCTCTCAATTATATGTACCTCAGGATAATCACCATTAACATGTATAACAGGCGCATTTATAATTTTACCAATATCACTACAATACCAACTACTTCTAGCATTTTGAGCTGGTGTAGTATAACCTAATTGATTATTCACCACGATATGAATTGAACCTCCCGATGAAAAATGTGGTAAATTTGATAATCCAAAACTTTCCGTTACAATTCCTTGACCTGTAAATGCCTAAAAATCATTTACATATATTTTTCAATAAATAAAATCAAATAATCTAATTTTTACTTTTTAAGTTTACTTACAGCATCACCATGTAACTGTATACACATAACTTTATCACCCAATTCGCAATCTGACTCAAATCTTAATAAATCCATTTGCTTTGCTCTCGCTTTACCCATTGCGACTGGATTCACTGCCTAATTGTCAGTATATATATCATTCAGTTCATCCATAAAGATGCTTAAATTTATAATAAAATTAGAAAAATTTACTTCGAGATGCGAAGGATTATTCAACATGGAAACACTTAATAATTTATCATCGCAATACTTTAATTCAGGTGAAAAGGCTTATTAAAAAAATAAATATATGTGAGAATATGAAATATAAACATAAATTCATCAATTATATTTTATTATAAGGCACGTTTAACTTACCAAGATGTGATAAAACATCACCAGTTGCGGGTAAATTCTCTGGAAATTCTGGATTGCCTTTGATTTTATGGAACAATCTTATAGGAGAAAATTTTAATAAATCAGTTAATAAATTTAATCGGCCTCTATGTGGCATGCACATTACTAGTTCAACTATTCCAGCTAAATAATAAATATATTGTTTTTGTAAATTATAAATATATATATATATGTATTATAATTTATATAAGATATTTTAAATGTGAACCTTTATTTGATACTTCAAATAGTTTATCTAAAGCAACCATCATCGATTCACCTCCTTCTAATCCATATCTTTTAACTTGAGGAAATTTTTTTGCCATAAAATGATCAAATACCTTTCAATGATGATGATGATGAGGATATGAATAGGTATTTTAATTTATTAATTAATGATCATTAATATTATCTTTATTTTCACCTCTGATCTTACTAATAATTCAAAAATTCTTTTTTTTTGTTCAAATTTCAGATTAACTTCATAATTTGATTCTATTACATTATAAAACCATCTTTTTTCGCTTGCATCCTAAATTTAATAAATGAATAAATGTTAATAATTTGAAATAAAAGTAAATATCAAAATGTTATTAAAACTTAACTGGTATGTGCATAAACTCATAAGTAACTCTACCACAATATACTTTTTTTAAATAATTTATGATTTCTTCTAATTTTTCCTGTTTTTTTGAATCTTTTGAATCTTTTGAATTGTTTACGTGAAGAATTCCTTAAAATATAAAATATAATAATTCAATCTACATATACACTTATTATCGTTTTTAATAAATGTTATTTATTACCATTTAAATTATAAAATCTGTTGGGATCATTTAATCCATATCTTCTATGATCAAGTGCTGCTACTTCTCTTTAAATTAAAATAAAATTGCAAGATTGTCAAATATTTCTAAAATAATTTATTTTATTTTGTTTTGTTATTTATTTTTATTTATCAATATTATACTTACTCTCTTTCAATTATACCTAAAGGATCAATATCTCCATTTTTATGTCCATAGGTTCTATAATTAGTTACAAGTCTAAGCAAATTTGCATTTTCTACACGATTTAACAATTCTTCTGATGAATCTTATAATTATAATTATAATTATAGGAAAAATAATAACATTAAAATTTAAATTGAATATTAAAAATCGATAAACAATAAAAAATTTTTCTTGCAAGTTTACAATCAAGAATGTTTGTTTTCTTTGGTACACGATATCCAAAAATTCCTTCATCATGATAATTTCTTCTAATGATTGAATTTACAAAAGTATTTAAATCAATTTTTTTAAATTCCTTCTTCTTGTGAATATTAAAGATTCCATTCGTAGATTTATTATTGTAGAAATTCAAAGATGACTTTTTACAATCATTAAACTTATAATTATTTAAATTATTATTTCTAATAAAATTATCATTTTTGCTATTTATTATAATTCTTTGATTGTTTACTATAAATGATTTTAATTTCATCATTTTTTTTTAAAGAATAATTCTTTGTTTATTATATTTATAAAATTGATAAAATATATGATTAAAATTCTCACGGTTGAATTTAAAGTATTACTTTATTTGGATCATACTGATCAACAAACCTAATTAATATCAATAAGGTAAATTCATATTAATATTAATATTAATATTAATGCGGATTTTTATGGTTACCCTTTTTCTAAAAAAAATTGGTGTAACAAAAAACTTATTTACAGTCAGACCTCCATAAATGCACACCCTCCATACTCTGCACTGCACGGTATTTTTTCGGTCCGCTCATATGAAAACTCTCTCCATAAATGCACCCCACGTGACCAATGTATAAAATTCATCGTGTAACTAGGATAAATTTAGAAATCATCAACATAAATTTGACTTAATTGGATAATTTCTAAAATATAACACAATCTGAATTTCGTAAACAATAAATTTTTAATCTTTGTAATTTGTTCTTTATTCACTATTTTCTTTCATCTTGTAATTTCATAACAAATAAAGGTTCAAAAATTTTTGTTATTTTACAATTTTTGTAATTTATAATAAATTATATATTTTTATTTATTGCTTTGTATTTTTACAATGAAATTATTTATTAATTATAACTTTGTAATTATTCAATGGAAATATTTGTACATAAATTTAAATAAAATTAATCAATCCTTTATCTTTAATAAATACAAAGAATTAACATTATTACTAAATAAAGGTGAGATTAATGCTTCAAATTATTATAAATAAAAGAAAAGGAAACCAAAGATTTTGATGCAAAATCATACCCTTAACAATCTATTATTAATAAAACTGAGATTCTCTATTATTATCAAACATTGATATCAATTAATCCATAAACTGATTTTAGTAATAAATTATCATTATCTTTATTCATTACTATTTATTTATTATCATTACTTGTTTCAAAATAAAATGTCTTCAAAAAGCAAAGTAACTTTAAACAATTCCCAAAAATATGAATTCTGCTTATATGCTTGTGATAATAATAAATTAGCAAGAAAAGAATATGTTAATTGGATTGAGCAAAAGTGGGGGCTTAAAGTGAATGAATCAACAATTACTAGAATTTTACAAAAAAGTGATGAAATACTTAACATGGAAATTTCTAATCCAGAAGCAAAAAGACATAAGTCAGTAACTTTTCCTGAACTTGAACTTGCACTTAAAGAATTTATTCTAGTTTATCAAAGTAAAACGATTTTGAGTGATGCACTTATAATTGAAAAAGCTAAACAGCTAGCAGACAGACTGGAAATTCCAAGTGGAGCATTATCATTTTTTCCTGGATGGCTCCAAAAATTTAAAGATCGTAATGGAATTTGTCAGCAAAAACTTCATGGAGAAGCATCATCAGTTGATCTAAGTATTGTTATTGATGCTTTACCATTATTGAAAAATAAGTGTGAACATTATCCACCCGAAAGAATTTATAATATGGATGAAACTGGTCTTTTCTACAGGTTATTATTTTTTTCCTAATAAAATCTAAGTTTAATTCTAATAATCCATGATATA